ATCATGGGCGAAACAGTATACTCTGTTATATCCATGGTACTGTTCATGTCTATAGGCGATGGTTACCACTTTCCATCAGGTGGGCCGTCAGCTTGTTTGCCATTCTAAGTTGTATAAAAAAGTATTTCAAACCGTTTAGACAGCGCACGCCATGTTATAGAATTAATGCCGACTTCAAATACATTTATTATGATTAATTATAAAATATAAATTTACCAAAATAAACAGTAGTCTATAGCACTCAGCGATAATATACCTTATTAATAGTGGAAGAAATTTTAAAATCTATTCAACAGTACTGGAGATTACTCAGAACATCCGAACTCACAAACTTTACCTCTTTATAATATTGGTACAGATAAATGTAATATTACATTAAAGTAAAAGAGGTAAAGAGGTTTCTTCAGGACCGGCAGCGCGCGCGTAATACCTCTGGTATTGCAGGCGTTCATAGGCTATGGTAACCGCTTACCATCAGAGCCGTATGCTTGTTTGCCACCTCAGTGGTATAAAAAAATACACAGAATTGAAACAAAGCAGTTCTGGCGGAGTGAGCTGTAGTCGATGACGTCACAACACAACAGAAAACCGAGTTGGCTTTCGTTGGACGTAAAAACTTTTCAGGGGTGGTCGCCTCGCCCCTCGCCACACCCACGCTCCCGGCTACATTACACTGTGAGCTTACTAGGGTTGCCAACTGTAACATCTACAAAACTAGGACATGAATCGCCGGAATTAAATTAAATTATTAATTAATTATTAGTATTTTATTATATTAATTATTAATTAATAAATCTGGTCGTTGTACCAGCCGGGTGTTTCAACCGACTGAAAAGTTCTGTTAAATTTTCAATTTTTTACTTACTCACTTTTTTTTCTTCAATTACAGATTGATTTCATAGAAATTTTATCAAAATCGGTTCAATAGTTTAATTTTCAAAACAAAACAACTAGTTTCGTCACAATTCAAGTAGTTGTTTTTTGTGGGACATAATCTTTTATAACTTCCGAAATGCGGGATTGATAGGCAATCCCACTAAAAATATATTTATTGAAGTTTAGACTTGTCTGATTTGAGACTACTTCAGATTATTTTATAATTACTCCTCTCCATCCAAAGGTTGCCTGGAAGAGATCGCTTTTAGCGGCTTTTTTTTATTGGATGAAAATGGAATGATAACCCCGCCTACGCTAACGGGATACGCTAGCGGGGCACCAGTGAAGGGTGATAGATGAGAATGAAAACTGGCCAGTTAGCCCATCATGATGAATTCATCAGGAATTAATCATGATAGTCTCCAGAGGGAACCGCGAGGAGGTCGACCTGGCTGGGTATATTGCTAGCAATAGGATTCTCAGTCTCCATTACTAACAATCCCTTTCCCCCATCCTACCACATAGGTTTTATAGAGTCATGTTAATGTATCTTTTTTAATATATAATACGAATCTATATGATATAACCGAAGTACCAATGTATATCAGAGTTAAGTAATAAAACCAGGCTGGTTAGACATCATACAAAACCATTTTCAGCCTCCATTACTAACAATCCCTTTACCCCCAAAAACGCTTTTAGCGGTTAGGTCGCCCATTGTTTTCTCACTGTGATTATTTCTTGTAATTGTTTATATTTATAATAAGTTTACTATTGTAATCTTTTGGTGGAAATAATAAAGAGTATCTGTCTTACTATATATTCCTACTTCTGTGCACTTAGTCAAAAATAAAAACAGTTTCCGGAACTCTTTCCATTTTTTTTACAACACAGGGGGCAAACGAGCATGCGGTTCACCTGATGGTAAGTGACTACCGCCGCCCATGATCACCCACAACACCAACGGCATTGCAGGTGTGCTGCCGGCCTTTTAAAAAGGAATATGCTCTTTTCTTGAAGGTTATGTTGTCGTATCGGTTCGGAAATACTGCTGCAGGAAGTTGATTCCAAAGAGTTTGTTCGAGATGTTTGTAAGTACTTTATATTATTCTCAATTTATTTATTTATTTATAAAAGACACACCAACAATATGCTCACAATAATTAAGCAGACAATATACAATGTTATTAGTAAGTAAAAGAGAAAAACTACTATTAAAAAATGCTTAAATCTAAGTTTGAACAAAAACATCTTACTCCTCACTACCAAGCTTAAGGCCATATGAACACATCAATTAAAGGTGTATACAGCTCTCACAGATAAGCGTCAATGTACACTAACTAACAATTATACAATTAGAGAAGACCTAACTACCAATCCATATTATTAATAAGTCTAGTAAACTGCACTAAAGAATTTCGTGTATAATATAGTATATGTCATATATGTGTAAGTATATTTGTTATTTATATATATTTATTCGTTTATATATGTAATTTTAATATGTATGTATATCAATAATTACTAGTTCCGCATTAGAGTATTCTGACACTTCCCTATGGTTGACTGGGAGAGAATGCTTTAAGCATTAAGTCCGCCATATACACATATTTGTACTAATGAATAAATAAATAAAAAATGTTTGAAGGATAAATCCGGGAAAACCCGGACGTATGGGGGCCCTACATGACATTGGTTGAGATGAGGAAAACGTGGGCGAAGCTGTCCTAGTCGAAACTAAACTGTTAATTATTACAAAGTGCATAGCACAAGTCCATACAATTTTCATTCATAAATAATAGATAATTTAAGATTGGGCGAAACAGTATACTCTGATATGGCCATGGTATTGCTCATGTCTATAGGCGACGGTTACCACTTTCCATCAGGCGGGCCGTCAGCTTGTTTGCCATTCTAAGTTATCTAAAAAAAAAAACAAAAAAAAGACTAAATCGTGACAAAACTAGTTATTTTTATTAACAACTGAGCTACTGAATCCATTTTGATAAAAATAATAATATATTTTTGATTGCACTTGAACAATACACACAGCAATTAGTATTTTTTTTTATTATAACAAAATCACATCTCCCCTCTTAAGGAGAGGAGATGGCAAACTAACCCCTGGCAGAAGCACAATCAGTCGGGGTTCAGGGCCCCAGGGAGAGAAACCGGCGTACAATGCGAGCAGTATCTGAGAACACCGCTTTCTGCATCTTTCCCGCAAGTGAGCTGCTTCGGAATCCCAACCGTCTGAAATCTTGTTTAGTTGGGATTATTATTATTATTTCAGCCGTTAACTGTCCACTGCTGGACATAAGCCTTCCCCATAAGGGGAGTTTTGCCAATAGTAGCAACGCTTGGCAGGCTATTTCATCGTTAATCAATTGTAACACAAGATTTTAATCTTATTATTATTTTAACCTTTTACCAAAAATTTTTTCTATATTACTCAGATAGAAGAAGTTTTTTTTTATACAACTTAGAATGGCAAACAAGCTGACGGCCCACCTGATGGAAAGTGGTAACCGTCGCCTATAGACATGAGCAGTATCATGGACATAACAGAGTATACTGTTTCGAACATGACACCCCCCATGCGTTGCCATTCCTAAGAACTCAGGTGTTATTCCTTTGTACCCTGTAAATTCACGCCATATTCCACCCTTCAAACCGAAACACAGCTATGCAAACACAACTGCTTCACGGTAGAAACAGGAATGGGACAGAGGTTCCCAAGCAATCGACTTTTGTACAAAGTCTCCCTCTTTATTCTCTAACTATATGGGATGGATTACTTTTTAACTCTGCTAATGAACATATTCCGGTCACGCGAACGAAGTCGCGGGTAAAAGCTAGTATGATATTTAATAGGACACAACCTGACCTTTCGCCTCGTGTTAATGCTGTAACAAATAGTTCAGCCGGGGTCGAGCCGAATGACGTCACTGCCGTGACCTTCACATTCCGGGAACGCCAAACATATCCGGGCACAGTACTTTTATGGGTGAAAATGGAATGGTAACCCCGCCCGCGCTATCGGTATACACCGACGAGGCACCAGTGGAAGATGATAGGTGAGAATGAATGCAGGTCAGTGGGCCCACCGTAATGAATTCGACAAGAATTAACCATGATGATTTCCAGGGAGAACCGCGTGGAGGTCGACCTAAGAGAGTATATCGCTAGCAATGGGGCTATTAGACCACATTACTAACAATCCCTTTCCTCCGCGGGCACAGGACTACGTATTCGGGTTTATCCTAAATTTCATATGGGATTTTTGGTCTCGACTTTCGATGTTGACAACCTCATAGTGCTGTGGCGGGAGGAAAGGGATTGTACAAAAGTCGATTGCTTGGGTACCTCTGTCCCATTCGTGTTTCAATCGTGAAGCAGCTGTGTTTACATGGCTGTGTTTCGGTTTGAAGGGTGGGATATGGCGTTACTGGGTACAGAGGAATAACATCTGAGTCCTCAGGAATGGCAACGAATGGGGGGGGGGGGTATCATGGGCGAAACAGTATACTCTGTTATGTCCATGGTACTGCTCATGTCTATAGGCGACGGTTACCACTTTCCATCAGGTGGACTGTCAGCTTGTTTGCTATTCTAAGTTGTATAAAAAAAATCCATTAAACAAAATGGGTAATTTTGTTTCGTTTTTATTGTTAAAAAAAATTTATAACTTTTCTTATGATCAAAGACGAAGACAGAATTTAAACTGTAGGGGCACCCGACAGCGCCATCTGGTATCACGGAATCTTAAACTTCAAAGATGTTTACATCGTTACCTTACACAGAGACAATAATTTGTAATGTACCAAATATGAATTAACTGTTGTTCAATTGAATTACGATTTTTTTCAGTTGATTTACGATTATCAATTTGGTAAAACCAGTTACTTTGAATTTAAAACTAAACTATTGACAAAATTTGTATGGAACTAATTTCAGATAAAAAAATTCAAATCGGTTTATTACTAAAGGAGTTATGAGGTAAGGAATGTAATAAAAAGATCAACGAAATCCTCTAATTTTTAACTTAAAATAATATAATTTGACAATTTCTGTTGGTAAGTTAGTAAGCAGATAATAAATTTCTTGAAGGTTAGTTAATTATGAGCCCCGCCGAAGCGGAGCTATCAAAAAATTGAGTAAGACTCATTTGATTGCTCCCCACCACGGAAATCTTTAGTAAAAGGCGAAAGATTTATCCGTTGTTGAAGGGAAACCAGAGATAAAAATATGTTATCTAGCACCAGAAGTCATCAAAACAGAAAGTATCTTAATATCGCGTTGTAAAAATAATGTAACTATTGACAGCGACATCTATGAGTAGTTCAGAATAATTTTGTAACAGAAGTTTAAAGGTATATCAGAGAGCATCAAAGCGAAGCATAAAAATGAACCCAACATTTTATTATTTTAATTTGAATGTTTTTTATTGTTGTAATGTCAAACATTCTTTTCGTTTAAATTTGGAATAATAATATATTTTATTTCTACTTAAATATTGTAATTTATTTATATCACATGATACCTAATTACCCAGTTTAAGTTTCAAAGATAAATAATAGATATTATTAAAGAATTTTAATACTTTGTATATAAGTATACAAATAAAAAATAATAGAATGTGAAAGAAAATCTTGCAAATAAATAATTTTATGATTTTATTTTAAAATACATTAAAATTTTAAAATTCATTTTAAGCGCCATCTATTAGTATATTTAAGAAATATTAATTTGTTTAATATAGACGCCATCGTCTTCAGTCGTTCGAGTAGTGCAATTGTAAATTTTTTATAACTGTATAGATGGTGCTGTCTGTCTAAGTTTATGAATAAAAATTAAAATCTACAAACTCATTGTAACAAGGTCTGTTTTGTCACATTCTTTCAAATTAGCCATTTAGTAAAAAAAAAAGAGAAAACAGTTAAATAGCTTAAATAGGATTATAAGAAGTTTCGTGTTTTTACAAAGAAGTAAGTTTTTCGATGGATGAAAATGGAATGGTGTTTTTTTAATGGGTGATAATGAAATGGTAATCCCACCTGCGCTATCGGTATACGCTGGCGGGGCACCAGTGAGGGATGATAGATGAAAATGAAAAGGCAGATCAGTTTGCTAATCGTGATGCATACACCCGGAATCAAACATGATGGTTTCCAAGGAAGACCACGTGGAGGTCGACCTGCCAGGGTACATTGCTAGCAATGGGACTGGTATTCTGCATTACTAATAATCCCTTCCCTCACCGCTGCGCTGGCGGGTACCAGTGGTGGATGATAACTCAGAATGAAGAGGCAGGTTAGTTAGCCCATCGTCATGAATACAATAAATACTAACGGGACTGGTAATCCGCATTACTGACAACTGACCTCCCCCCCTAGCAACACTATTACTAGCAAAACCATCGTGAATTTGTCACAATAGATTAACAGACATGCTCCATCTTCACCGATAGCGTAGACGGGATTTTTGTTAAAATTTGTTAACTGTTCACTGGACATAGACCTTCCCTATATGGGGAGTTTTGCCAATAGTTTGTACGCTTGGCACATGGATCCATATTGGCAACCGCATTTTGGCTTTTAGATATGTGTTAAGAGGGACGCTGCTGCCCATCCCTCACCCTCCTTAGTCCCCTATTACGACACCCACGGGAAAGTAAGGAATGGCCTGTTTTATGCCGGGGCACATACGGCGAGTCGCTCCATTATCATCCATTAAAAAACCCATTAAAATATTTATATGCATTTTTCCAACAACAATTATTGGTGTCTATTATTCATTAGCTTTAACCTGCGAATTTACTTGAAGAGAAAACATCTTGTATGTTTTTTTTAATGAGTGAAAATGGAATGGTGCCCCCGCCTGCTCTATCGGTATACAATGACGGGGCACTAATGATAGCTGATATGTAAGGATGAAAGTAGGTCAAGCCCTCTAGACAAATGGCAAGTGAATTCGTCGATAGAATCGCCATTGCTAGCGACTCAGTGAGTTTTTTTTTAATGCATGATAATGGAATGTTAACCCCGCCAGCGTATACCATTAACGCAGGCGGAGCACCAGTGAGGGATGATAGATGAGAATGAAAAAAAGGCAGGTCAGTTAGCCCATCGTGATGAACCATAGGAATGTGTCAGAATACTCGAATGCAGTACTACTAATTATTGATATACATACATATTAAAATTACATATATAAACGAATAAATTTATATGAATAACAAATATATTTATGTTACTGTATATCACTTGAAATATTCAATTGTCATTGTATAATTTTGTTTCTGGTGCAATAAAGAAATAAATAAACTAAATAATTAAATAAGATAAATTTGTATTTTTCTTTAAATGGTACAATAAAAAGTAAGTAAATAAATAAAGTCTATTGCTAATGTTCTTTTATTTCCTACTAGTTTCTGCCCGCTACTATGTACACGTGGATTTTAGAAATATGAGAACCAATGAAATAGACTATTTCTAGATAGCGTATCAAGATGAAACGTAGACCAAATATTAAAATGGACCTTCAGTAAGCTGAAGCACAGCTGTGAAAACTGCATCCAATCTCCCAAGCATAGAACTACTTTGTAGACTTTGTACAAAAGTCGATTGTTTGGGTACCTCTGTCACATTCGTGTTTCAACCGTGAAGCAGTTGTGTTTGCATGGCTGTGTTTCGGTTTGAAGGGTGGGATATGGTGTGAATTTACTGGGAACAGAGGAATAACACCTGAGTCCTCAGGAATGGCAACGCATGGGGGGTACCATGGGTGAAACAGTATACTCTGTTATGTCCATGGTACAGCTCATGTCTGTAGGCGACGGTTACCACTTTCCATCAGGTCATTTGTCATTTTCCGTCAGCTTATTTGCCATTCTAAGTCGTATAAAAAACTCTTTGCCACAAACGAAAGTTAGTTATTAAATATTTTTATACAGTGTTCTATCATTAACTTAGTTTATACTGCAACTTTCAACTAACTTGAAGGTCCACTTGATTCGCGATGCGCAAAACCCTTAGTTCAGGGTTTTATTAAGCCCGGGTGAGAAATCCAACTAGTTAATTTTAATGGGCAGGCCGGCGGGCAGAAACCAGGTCCGGGCAGTAATTTGGCTAGCTAAACTACAACTAGCTGATTTAGAGTTTGTATGAGTTTATAAAGGCATAATACTGCTGATTTAAATGAAAACAAAAATTTTGGCTTCATTCTTCGCGTGTCCAGACCATTTTCAGATATTGATTGTATAAAAACTCTTTATCTATCTTATGTAAGAAACGTTTTAGAGTACTGCAGCATAATATGGAACCCAAACTATGTAATTTATAAGCAGACTTTAGAAAAAATTCTTAAAACATCTAAATTATAAAACAAGAAGCACTAGTACTGATTATCATGAAATGTGTAAGAAGTACAATCTTATTTCTCTCGAAGATAGGCGTTCTCTTCTTGATATGATGTTCTTGAGAGATATTTGTAATAATGGTATAGACTGCCCGGATCTTGTGTGTAATGTGTTGCGTCTCCGTACTCCTAAAATCCGTACCAGAAATACTCCACTTTTTGCAGTTCCAAGCAGCGATACCAATTACTCTCAGAACTCAATAGTTTGTCGTCTAATGAATTCATATAATAAACTTTTTTCAACAGTGGATTTATTCCACCTCAGTAGATATACATTCAGGGCTGTGATAATGGATGAGATAATATCATAATTACCTATGTTGCATATATGTACATGTACGTATATACATTACATATTTACATTTATTTATATCACACTATTATATATTTATTTATATCACACTACACATACACCCACACATACATTTATACCTCTTTACAATTGGTGACCATGAACTTGTATTATTTAATCATTGCTATCAATATCTGAACTTTAGCAACGTGGATTTTAATTATTTTATATATCAATTAACCTAACTTTATGGACACTCATTATTATACATGGTTTCATTCATACATGTGCTTATATTACTCGCATACACCCACTCTAACTTGCCTACTTCGCTTTGAAATCAAAATTTTTGTATGTATAAATAAAATCCGTTATTGGGTGTATTCATAAGAGACTTAGCATGTAAGTTATTTTTAAGAGCTGTGGATTTTTGTATAAAATAAAATAAAAAAAAAATAAATAAAAAAAAAAAACAAATAATGATATTGCTATTCAGTAATAATATGTTTAAATGCTTGTGTTGCGTAGGATTAATTGTCATATCCATTAAACAAAGCTATGGACAAATAACAATAATTTTCCGAACTGTGTTCTGGAGTATTATTTGATATGACGATTCAGTCAAATTTCTATCATCACGTCTCTTATTTCTGTCGTTACTAAGTGTGGCAACTACGGCCAAAACCCCCATAGGGGGAGGCTTATGTCCAGCACTGGACAGTTAAAAGCTGATATGATGATAATGAATATAAAGACACAACAAAAACAACTTGAAATATGTAATTTTCTAATTATACATACAATCAACGTCGGCCGTTGAAATCTTTTAGAAACAAGTTTTATTTCTTAATAAGTTGTATAGATAAATATTATAATTTTAATATGCTAAAGACTACAATCGTAAATGAGGTAGTCAGAGATATTTTGTCGATTGGTATCGTTGTGGTGAATGTAAAATTCGATTTTTGTAGTATCTCGCTCGGCAAATTATATTAATTCTATTTGATAGTGGACGAGCTTCTCATGATAGTGTATTTGAATAACACCTGAGTCCTCAAAAATGGCAGCGCATGGGGAGTATCATGGGCGAAACAGTATACTCTGTTATGTCCATGGTACTGCTCATGTCTATAGGCGACGGTTACCACTTTACATCAGGTGGGCCGTCAGCTTGTTTGCCATTCTAAGTTGTATAAAAAATAAAAAATAAATTGAATTATAATTGTCGAATTGATTTTTTAATTGGTGAAAATGGATTATTAACCCCGCTTGTTCAATATATCGTCATAGTCGTAGAATACTGACGGATCTGACAAAGATTACATATAAAGATCCGTCAGTATTCTACGACTATGACGATATAGTGGTCTGGCTGGCGTCTGGTGATGAAGAGAGATGACTTTTTAATGGATGATAATAGAATGATAACTCCGCCTGCGCTAACGGTATACGCTGGCGGAGCATTACTGAGAGATCATTGGTGAGGATGAAAAAGCAGGCCAGTTAGCCCATCGTGATTAATTTATCTGGAA